CACCCCAGGACCGAAGCCCAGGCGGTTGGGGTCTGGTTTGCATGCTTCGCATCTTGGCCGAAACCCCCATCCTTAGTGTTGTCCACTTCTGCCTGCCTCGATGGCATTCCATCCGGCCTCTCTGGCAACATTCACCATCCCTGCCCGCCTCGCCTACCCCGCCCCCGTGCTCTTCCATCCAGTGAAACCAGCCACAGAGGCTGGGAGCTGCCCGTGGGAGAGAACTCCAAACTGCTTGGCTGGGCATTCAAAGTTTGTCACAACCTGGTTCCACCCAGGGCTCCAGCCTCAACCTCCACCAACTCACCCCATGCTGGTCCTCTCACAGTTCCCCCAAAGTCGTGACCTTTCCCACTAACTGTCTCCTAAGCCTGGACAATTCTTGCTGCCCCCTTCTGCCAGTCAAAGCCCTACTGGTCCCTTGCCACACCCACTTTCAACACCCTGCCTCCTGTGACACCTTTACACAGTACCACAGGGCTCATCACTCTTTTTTTTTTTTTTTTTTTTTTTGACAGGCAGAGTGGACAGTGAGAAAGAGAGAAAGGTCTTCCTTTGCCATTGGTTCACCCTCCAATGGCCGCCGCGGCCGGTGCGCTGCGGCCAGCGCACTGAGCTGATCTGAAGGCAGGAGCCAGGTGCTTCTCCTGGTCTCCCATGGGGTGCAGGGCCCAAGCACTTGGGCCATCCTCCACTGCACTCCTGGGCCACAGCAGAGAGCTGGCCTGGAAGAGGGGCAACCGGGACAGAATCTAGCGCCCCGACCGGGACTAGAACCCGGGTGTGCCGGCACCACAAGGCGGAGGATTAGCCTAGTGAGCCGCGGCGCCGGCAGGGCTCATCATTCTTATGTCTGTGCAGAATCCACTGCAGAGTATAGTAAGTTATCTGCTTACAAACAATGTGCCTCTTGGGGCGCTGAAGAATGAGAACTATTCAAAGAATGACAGCATGGCCGTGGATCCAAGCGCCTTGCTCCGTCCGTCTCTGCCCTGCAATGTCAGATGCTTCTATTCACTGGCTCTCACCAGATCATAAAGGCTGCAAAGACCCCAGGCAGTTTATTTGTCCCTGACTTTCTAAAGCCCAGGGAGATTCTCTTCCTTATTGCTTCCCAAAGAGAAAAAGTGAGAATGAAAGTCAAGGAGTCCCACGAACCAATCAGAATATGGTATAAGAAAAACGCCGTCGTGTACGGAGGTAAAGGGACCTCGGAGCTGCTTTTCACCCTTGTGTCTTCATTTCACTCACAAGGAAATGGAGACCCAGAAGGGAGAGGCTGGGACAAGGGCAGCCACCAGCGAGGGACGGCATTGGCGCCCAGGGCTTGAGTCCTCCCCTGCTGCCTCTCGGCCCCGTCCTGTCCGTCCTAGACGGAGGGGCAGCCCTGCCTCCGGGTCCTTCAGCCTTCCCCCATTATACCCCAGATAGGCTCAGGCTGCCTTCCTGGGAGCGGGAAGTTAGTATGTGGCTTAGCACGGAGACGCTGGCCGCGCCAATGTTCCTGCCTCGTGCCACAGCAAGGCTGCAGCTCCCCCAGCACCTGGCTGCAACTCCTGGCTGTACCAACTGGCCTGGAGCCTTCCACAGGAGCTGCAGCAAGGGCAGTGGCTCTTCCTCTGCCCCCAGCACCTGCCAGCCCCTTTCCTGTGTCCGGGGCAGAGGCTGCTCCTACGAGGTGGCTCTTTCATCCCCTCCCTGCTGCCTCTACCTCCCCTTTGCTCCCAAGTTAGTCACTTGAGGTCTTGAGGTCATGCTCAGTCCGGGTCCCCAGGCGTCTCCCCAAGAACAATTCAAATATACCAGGAGAGGGAATCTGGGAGACCACAGAGGAGGATGCAGCAAAGAATCATGGGAAAAATGGGCTCCGGAGTCAGAGACATGGGTTCAGATCCTGGCTCAGTTAAGATCTTAACTTAACACGGGTTAAGATCCTGGCCAATTGGGTGACCTCTATTGAACAACTTAATCTCTTAAATGCTTGCTGAAAAAGGCACCTCCGTGACCTGTGAACTAGGGGTCAGAGCACGGAATGACCTCACTTGTTTGCAGCAAGAGGTGAACAAGATAATGTGCCCAAAGCACCCTGCTCAGAGCCTGCTTCGGCCAACACCGGTTTATTTCGCTTGCGGTGAAGTGTGAGCGCCTGGCCGCCAAGCAGGAGCCCTGTGACAGCGCCAGGGGGAGAGAGAGGAGCCTGTTGGCGGCGGTGCTGGGCATGTGGATGGACTTGCCGGGTGTGCCTGTGGGCAGAGAGGGGCTCTGGGGTAAGTGTGTCAGCGAGTGTGGCCGGGCTGCTCTCTCCAAAACCTTCTCCCCCTTACGGGCGAGATCAGTCAGATCTGCTCCTGTTACCAGGGAGAAACCCAAACCCCGCCAGTGGGGGCGGCAGGAACCCCTCCCACCAGGCTCAGCCAAGGCAAACAAGCTGGGGGGGCCCCTCCCAGCAGAAGCCGGACGGTGGGGAAACCACACCCCGAAAGATGCTCAAGCAGTCAGGAACCTCCCTACAGGCCCCCCAGGGCCACAGGGGCTGCCCCAGCCTTGTCCCCAGCACACAGGCCGTGCGGCTGCACACCTCCTGGCTAGGGGTGGGATGAGCTCCCCACCATGCATCTCGTTCCAGGGCCGGGGGCAGTGGGAGGAGGGCTCTAGGCCTGGGAGAACTTAAGTCCTCGGAAGGAGGGGGGCCAGAAAGCACAGGCCCAGGCCTCACCCCAGCCTGCTCAGGACACCCCATAGTCCTTGGAACCCTCCTGCCCTCGAAGCAAACCTGGCCAAACCATTGCCCGAGATAAGATCTGTCTCCTGTTTAAAGACCTGAGTGAGAGGCTGATTCTCCAGTCGTCCTCGCCTGGGAGCTATTCCAGTGTTTCATCAAAGGCACGGGCTGGAAGTCCTTCCTCATAGCTGGCCCAGCTCTCTCCTTGATTGAAACCCATCTCTGTCGTAGGGCTCCAGTGGAGAGGGGGGGCAGTCTGTCGGCCAGCTTCCCAGCCCTCCTGGTAGACGAAGCTGCAGAAGTGGCCCGCCTGAGAGGCTTTGCCTAGAACCGAAGATTATGCCTCCCTGCCTGTGACGGAGGTACCCGGAGCCTTGTGGCAACCGTCCTGGTGACTTTAAACCACTCTACAGATACAGGAGGGGAGGAACACGTCTGTGCTCTCCAGCCCTGTCCTGGGCTCTCATCTCTATGCGGCTCAGAATCAGCACAGCGGGGAAGGCCCTAGTGACCACCCAGAGCGGGTGGAACCCCTTCCCTCTTGCTGTTGCTTCTCTGCCTGGCAAATTCCCACTCATCCTTCAGAGCCGGACTCGTATCACTGCCTCCATGAAGCCTACCCTGGACTTCAAGGAAGGTTTTGGGGGGTGAGACTTATTTATTTATTTAAAAGGCAGAGTTACAGAGAGAGACAGAGATCTTCCATTTGCTGGTTCACTCCCCAAATGGCTGCAATGGCTGGGACTGGGCCATGTTGAAGCCAGGAGCCAAGCACTCCATCCAGGTCTCCCACGTGGGTGGCAGGGCCCAAGCACTTGGGTCATCTTCTATTGCTTTCCCGGAGTATTAGCAAGAAGCTGTATTGGAAGTAGAGCAGCCAGGACTTGAACTGGTGCTCATACGGGTTTATCAGTGTTGCAGGCAGAGGCTTAACCAGCTGCGCCACAACACTGGCCCCTCAAGGAAGGATTAAGTGTTCCCATTTCTGATTGTTTTATCATATCATATCATATCATATCATATCATATCATATCATATCATATATTAGGGAGAGAATCTTCCCTCTACTGGTTTACTCTCCAAATGCCTACAACAGCCAGGGCTGGGTCAGGTCAAATCCAGGAGCCTGGGACTCAATCCAGGTCTCCCATGCAGTGGCAGAGACTCAGGGACTTGAACCACCACCTGCCGCCTCCCAGGGTGCACATCAGCAGGAAGCTGGATGGGATGTGGAGGAACCGGGACTTGAACCGGGCACTCTGATAGGGAAGTGACTTAACCTCTGCACCAGTGCCCACCCTCGCATTTCTGCTTGCCACCCTGTTTCTGAGTGCATGAATGAGACTGCCTTACAATTATTCAGTGGAGCCTCCTTCTCCTCCCCTCCTCCCTCTCCTCTCTCTACAACACATGCCATCCTCTCCTCAAAATAGACTGTGCCCTCCTTCAGGGCAGAGACCACGCCTTCATTGTCTCTGCATCTATCCCTGCAGAGTGTAGAAATATAGAGTGCAAATATTCCATCCCCCAGAGTACTTATGGAATAAATGAACATTTTGGGGAAACTTAAGGTAAAAATATGAACTTGACAGAAGGTATATAGATAGTGAGAGGCAGAAACAGGACCCAAACCAGGCCCTGTGAGTACATCCCATTCTCGCCCCTCTGCCTCAGTCCCAGCTCAGTCCTCCCCCCGAGCCTCCACCATCACAGCCCAGCCCAGGCTGCCCGTCAGCCTCCGACCATAAGGAGAGCACCTTCTCCCGCGGCGTCAGCCCTTGCTTCACACACGCACATCTATGCCCACCGCCACCTGCCCTGTCCAGGCCCTCCCTAACTCCCCCAGCTCGGGCCCCACAGCCTGGCTCCGGGCTCCTCTCTGAGCTCTCCCGTGCCCCTGTTACCACGCCCATCTACACTTTGTGCCCTGTGGCTCCGTAAATTCTTCTGCACAAACACACTCACCCGAGAGGCAACTCAGGCTAAGCTCTGGCAGCTCTACTCTGTCAACAGCTAAGCTTTCTGGTCTACCTCTGGCTTGCAGCTCCTCTTGTCTGTCGCTGCTCTAGAGAGGGGACACTGCAGAGGAGGCCTCCAACATGGGTCGCAGGCTGGGTGGGAGGCTGGACTCGGGGGCCTCTAATCTTGAAATCTAGGGCTTCTAGGAATAAACACCTCCAAACCGTTCTTAATCTCCTTTGTAACCTTCACACCTGACTTAGCATGCATGACCCCACAATTTACGGAATAGCCATCTTCTTCTGGCCCAAGTTCTTACCTGCCTGTTGAAATCTAGGCCGTTTCGATCATTTCCTGGAAGAGATTAAAAAAAGAAATGAGTTGCCAGCAGAATTGGAAGAGGCTGAAGGTTAGAGGAAGATGAGGATGTTGAGAAGAGCAGGTCTCTATTTAGGAAAAGGGCACCTGCTTCCCCCAGAGCCAGGATCCTCCTGCTCAGCCTGTTTCCTAGAAACACCGTTGGAAAGACTTCTCTCAGGAGGTGGGGAGGTGGGAGTGAGGGAAAGAGGCCTCTCAGAGGGGAGGCCCACTCGGCCAGGGTCCCCGGGGGAGGCCCACTCGGCCAGGGTCCCCGGGGGAGGCCCACTCGGCCAGGGTCCCTGGGGGAAGGCCCACTAGGCCAGGGTCCCTGGGGGAAGGCCCACTCAGCCAGGGTCCCCGGAGGGAGGCCCCCCTGACCAGGGTCCCCGGAGGGAGGCCCACTCGGCCAGGGTCCCTGGGGGGAGGTCCACTTGGCCAGGGTCCCCAGAGGGAGGCCCACTCGGCCAGGTCCCTGGAGGCAGGCCCCCTTGGCCAGGGTCCCCGGGGGAGGCCCACTCGGCCAGGGTCCCTAGGGGGAGGCCCACTCGGCCAGGGTCCCTAGGGGGAGGCCCACTCGGCCAGGGTCCCCTGGGGAGGCCCACTCGGCCAGGGTCCCCTGGGGAGGCCCACTTGGCCAGGGTCCCTAGGGGGAGGCCCACTCGGCCAGGGTCCCCGGGGGAGGCCGACTAGGCCAGGGTCCCTGGGGGGAGGTCCACTTGGCCAGGGTCCCCAGAGGGAGGCCCACTCGGCCAGGTCCCCGGAGGCAGGCCCCCTTGGCCAGGGTCCCCAGGGGAGGCCCACTTAGCCAGGGTCCCCAGAGGGAGGCCCACTCGGCCAGGTCCCTGGAGTCAGGCCCCTTGGCCAGGGTCCCCGGGGGAGGCCCACTTGGCCAGGGTCCCTAGGGGGAGGCCCACTCGGCCAGGGTCCCCGGGGGAGGCCCCCTTGGCCAGGGTCCCCGGGGGAGGCCCACTAGGCCAGAGTCCCTGGGGGGAGGCCCACTCGGCCAGATCCTTGGAGGGAAGCCCACTAGGCCAGGGTCCCCGGGGGGAGGCCACTTGGCCAGGGTCCAGCGGCACCTCAGAGTCGGTTGGGAGTAGGGCTGGCTCTTGCAGCCAGGGTTCTTGATCCCGGGCCACGTGGCCTCTGGCCACAGCCGGTACAAGAGAGATAGACTTGGAGCCTGAAGAGATCACCCTAAGGCTGGAAGTCCCCCACCACCACCAGCTCCGTTCGGTGGGGGTGCTGATGCCTACGTTGTGTTAGTCAGAGGTCTGCCTTGTTTTCCCCACCAGTTTTTACTTTTTAACTCAGTTCATCTTCTTCCTGTTACAGTAAATACTGAGAGGAAAAATAAATATGAGCTTATATAACAGAAACTTCTTGATACCCAAGTCTGAAGCAGTGGGAATAAAACACTACAGAGAGGCAGCCACAGAGTGGTTTTCTATGTTATGGTTTCCTAGGCTTCTCTTCTCCATGGATGTATGAGGGATCTTCAGAAAGTTCATGGGAAGCACATATTATGAAAAAAGTTAGGTGTGCATTGCAAACATTTTTGGTACCTAAATAAATGGTTTTTGTAGCTACATAAATCTCTTAATTTCTTCTTTCCATGAAATTTTAAAATTTATTTTTTATTTATTTGTTTATTTTGAAAGGAGAGAGATAGAGATAGATACAAATAGACACAGAGAGAGAGAGAGAGAGATCTTCCGTCTGCTGGATCACTCCCCACTCCCCTGAGCTGGGCCACGTCAAAGCCAGAAGCCTGGAACTCAATGCAAGTCTCCTACATGGGTGGCAGGGATCCAAGTGCCTGCTAGTGTGCTCATTGGCAGGAAGCTGGCATCAGAAGTGGAGTCAGGCACTTTGATATGGGATGTAGGCATCTCAAATTGCTGCACCAAACGCCCACCCCTCCACGAACTTCTTGCAGCTTCCTTGTATACCTTTCTGTATAGATTTTTACCTGATTTTTCCAGTGAGCAAACTAGCAATATTTATTCTATACCATTAAGGAACGTCATCTGTATTAGTCTTCTGACCACAAACATTTTTTTTAAAAAGATTTCTTTATTTATTTGAAAGACAGAGTTACAGACAGAAGTAGAGAGAGAGAGAGAGAGAGAGAGAGAGAGAAGAGAGAGGTCTTCCATCCGCTGTTCACTCCCGAAATGGTCGCAGTGGCCGGAGCTGGGCTGATCTGAAGCCAGGGGCCAGGAGCTTCTTCCAGGTCCCCTATGTGGGTGCAGGGGCCTAAGGACTTGGGCTATCTTCTACTGCTGGATTGGAAGTGGAGCAGCCGGGTCTCGAACTGGTGCCCATATGGGATGCCGGCACTACAAGCGGTGGCTTTACCTGCTACACCATAGCACCAGCCCCAAACATCATTTTTAATGGCTGCAAATGTGCCCCTATATGGATGGATGCACCGTGATTTGCTCAACATATACCTGTTGTTGGCACAGCTGTGTTCATTCTTTGTGTAATGCTTTCCTATTCGCATAGACCTTGAGGGCAGGAGCTGAGCACAGCCCTCCTTCAGGCCCATGGACTACTGCTCTATTTCTAGGAAGATGAATATTTATCAAGTGCTGTACACACGGAGCCTAGCATTGTGCTCAGCATCCAATAGATGCTCCACATATATTTGATTGAATAAATGAATAAATGAATGAGTGAGCAAATTCAGAGCTTCCATAATAGCTCTGGAGGGAAGCCCAAATTCCTTCTCACAACATATGAGGGTACTTCAAAAAGTTCATGGAAAATTGAATCAAGAGATAAGTTTCTTTTGGTGCAACAAAAATGTTTTAAATCCATATATAGTTTTTGTGCATTTTCATTAACTTTCATTTTTTAAAGATTTATTTATTTGAAAGGCGGAGTTAAAGAGAGAGAGGGAGAGACACAGAGAGAGATCTTCCATCCTCTGGTTCACCCCAAATGGCTGCAATAGTTGGGGCTGGGCCAGGCTGAAGCCACGAACCAGGAGCGTCATCCGGGTCTCACACATGTGGTAGGGGCCCAAAGAGTTGGGCCATGCTCCTCTACTTTCCCAGGCACATTAGCAGGGAGCTGGATTGGAAGTGCAGCAGCCAGGAATCAAACTGGGACCTTATGGGGCTGCCAGTGTCACAGATGGTGGCTTAACCTGCTATGCCACAACTCCAGATCCTCCATGATTGTTCCTGGGAAAGCAGCACAGGATAGCCCAAGTGCTGGGCCCCTGAACCCACATGGGAGACCTGGAAGAAGTTCCTGGCTCCTGGCTTTGGACTGGCCCAGCCCTGGCTGTTGTGACCATCTGGGGAGTGAATCAGTGGATAGGAGCCCTCTCTCTCTGGCACTCACTCTTTCCTCTCTCTCTCTCTCTCACTCTCTCTCTCTCTCCCCATCTCCCTCTGTCTCTCTGTAACTCTGCCTTTCAAGTAAATAAATAAATCTTTAAAGGTAGAATGACAAAAAGTGAGGGAAAGAGAGAGAGAAATACATCTTTCATCCACTGGTTCACTCCCCAAATGTCCGCAACAACCAGGGAATGGCTAGACCAAAGCCAGGAACCAAGAACTCCATCCAGGTCTCCCACATGGGTGAGAGACCTGCCTTCCCAGAAACATTAGCAGGGAGCTGTACTGGAAATAGAACAGCTTGGACTTAAACCATCACTTCAATATGGGATGCCTATATCACACACAGCAGCTTAACCTGCTGGGACACAAAGCCAGCCTCCTGAGAAAGAAGTTTTCCACCCACTGGTTCACCCCCTAAATGCCCACAGCAGCCAGGGCTGGGCCAGGCTGAAACCAGGAGCCCAGAACTCCATCTGGGTGGTAGGGACTCAAGTGTTTGAGCTATTATCTGCTGCCCCCCAGGCTCAGTGGCAGGAGCTGGATCAGAAGTGGAGGAGCCGGGATGGAACCCTTACTCCATAAGGAATTCAGGCATCTCAAGAGGCGGCTTAACCTGCGGTGCTACCATGCTCATCCTCTCTGAGCCCTAAGAAGACCCAGAGCTTTCCTGCTTTGCTTTTTGCCACTCATGTTCCACCCTCCCCCCTCCCAGGTCCCTGAGCTCAGGCCATGTGGAGTTCTAGTTCAAGTCCAAACGTGCCACACCCTTCCTGTTCACCTGTCCCCACACCCTGTTCCCTTGTGCAGTAGTCCCTCCTGGCTCGAGTCTGGCCACGTGGCATTCGCTGAGAAACTCCTTGCTTGTCTGCAGGTTTCTCTCTCCCCCTTGTCTGTGAATGCTTTGAAAACTAGACAGGGACATCCATCTGTGTGCCATCAAGGGCCACAAAATGAGCAGGACCTTTTTTTTTTTTTTTTTTTTTTTTTTTTTTTGACAGGCAGAGTGGACAGTGAGAGAGAGACAGAGACAGAGAGAAAGGTCTTCCTTTTACCGTTGGTTCACCCCCCAGTGGCCGCTGTGGCCGGCGCACCGCGCTGATCCGATGGCAGGAGCCAGGTGCTTCCCCTGGTCTCCCATGGGGTGCAGGGCCCAAGGATCTGGGCCATCCTCCACTGCACTCCCAGGCCACAGGATCCCACGGCCCTTCCGCCTCTGCTTTCATCATGTTGCTGCCCACACCCTGTTGCTCTCAGATACCTCCTGACCACAGGGGGAAGGGCTCCACTTCCCCAGTGTCCTTTGCAGCAGAGCAGAAGGAAGGGAGCTCAAGGTCAAGCCACACAGCATCTCTTAGATCCCAAACCCCCATCTCACAGGCATTCTCTGAGCCACTGACCCATCTTAAGACCTCTGCTCAGGCTGGCGCCGCGGCTCACTAGGCTAATCCTCCACCTTATGGTGCTGGCACACCGGGTTCTAGTCCCAGTCGGGGAGCCAGAATCTGTCCCGGTTGCCCCTCTTCCAGTCCAGCTCTCTGCTGTGGCCAGGGAGTGCAGTGGAGGATGGCCCAAGTGCTTGGGCCCTGCACCCCATGGGAGACCAGGAGAAGCACCTGGCTCCTGGCTTTGTCCTGGCCCAGC